AAATGAAAGGGCAGTGTTGTCCTGGGGAAGGAATCGGACAAAAAGTGTCACATGGCGCCGCTGCAAATGGAAATCCCTTTTGTTGTTTTCTGAGAAGTTTCAGTCTAAATGGTAAATGAATCTATCCCTATGTATAAACTTGAAAAGCTAAAACGCAACAGCTTTTTATGTTAGCAATAGCATTATCTGCTTGGTCAGGTACAGGATGAGAGAATACCAAAGTGTGATCCCTAGGAAGAGGTAAACTGCAGAAATGATTTATTTTTCATGGCCAGTAACTCTCACCAGTTTTAGCAACTTCATCGTAAGCGCACAAAGACAGAAGTAAAGTTTGAGAGCAGGCTGCTGGCTGTACCCTCTGGGCCCTCAGCAGGGGAGCACGGCTCTGCTCCCAGCCACCCCGAGCCAGCCTTTTGCACGGGAGTGTGAGCACATCCCCAAAATCCCCAGCAGCATCGTTTGTGGGCAGGTGGCTCCAAAGGTTCACAGGGGCAGGGGCTGTTTTTCTTTCTGGAAGAGGGTTGATATAAAAGGGAGGCTTTGGCAGGAATCGCTGGGCTGTGAGCATCCTTCCTCCCAGAAACCACCAGATGCATCCTGCCAGGTCAGGCATGAAATGTAGGTGACAGAACTAATGGTGGGTGTCACCCGGGGAATGTGGGAAATTTAGGAGGGCAGCCACCCCTCTTCCCTTAGGAGTACACGAATGGCAACGTAGCGCTTTATCCTTTCCTGTTACGTATGGGTGGAAGGCTGGGTTGGATCAGAATGCCCAAGTGGGTGGAGAACTTAATGCCGTGCAAAATAAGGGCTTTATTCAAAAGAAATAGTTGCAGATACCTACAGAAACAAGTGAAGGTAGCCACATTATTTTTGTACGTTTGTGACCAACTAAACACCAGTTTGTGTGGCATTCTCTCCTGGGCCAAAGCTGTGGGCGCTGTGGTTCCAGCAGCGTTTGCTCGGGGCTCTTGCATCCAACCCATGATGTGCTGCTAGGTCCCAGCTGAAGCTGCTTAAATACAGGCACAGAACTGAATGCCGCCGTCACCGCGTGCCGTCAGGCAGCCCTGCCACGGGGAGAAGGCAGCTGGAGAGACCCCCGGTTTGCTCAACATGAAGCCTAGAGCTGTTCAGTTTCATTAGGATTCTGAGTAAAGTTATACTGTAATAGGAAAGTTGTTTCTTCACATCAATGCGATTTTGCACCACATATTCATGTATTCTTATGAATATTCTTATTCATATGCACATTCAGTTATGCAAATGTTAGGACTTATGATCCATATTGATGGAGACCGCAAAGTTATCCTCTTTTCTCGCTCTTGTTTTGTTCCCAGAAAGGAAATGTCAGGATGAATCAGAACGAAGCAAAACTCTTGAACTGTTTTAAAACTGGAGAGGGATGATCAATAGAAACCATAGGACAAACTCTTGTGTTAGCCAGTGACACGGGAACTGATCTGCTGGATTTTTTTCCCTCTTTTTTTATTTCTCTGTCTAAAACTCTTGGTGTATGTTATGGAAAAGGGAAGAGCTATTTAGTTTCTTAATGTGAAAATAATCACATTTCATTATGCATTTCATTGTCTGATGAAAGAAACGTTAGCGTAAGAGATAATTACTTGCCGTATCAGTTTATCTTGTTACCAGAACCAGTAGAGTTTGCAGCCAATCTCAAAGATTGTTTCTTCTCCAAAATCCTACGCACATACTGAATTTTTGCAGCTTCATTATAAAAGACTCTAGAATTGTTGGCTAGTTTTCACTGCTTAATTGTTTTATCTGTACTTTCTCCAAAATGAACTGTTTTCAGCCATGGGATATAGCTGTATCTTGTCTCTTCAATGGACTTCTTTTGTAGTAGAACAGGGCAGCTACTGCACATATATATATACACAAACATCTATATGTATATATTTACACCAAAGCTGCCTGTTTAGATGGCAGCCCAATAGGATCGAAGATAACACAAAGTTCTATTACACCTGAACAGATTTTGGTCTGGGGATGTATTACAGATTTACATTCTTTTACATGGCAGGTTTTTATAAAGTCCTTTGTGGGGTTTAGGATGTTGAGCTGTACCACAGCAGCCAAAAGTCTTTTGTTTTAATAATCATAAAAATATTTAACATTTCCTATGGGATTATTCCTTCAATCTCAGTATTGTACAAATGCAAATAACATAGATACCACAACAATGCTGTGAGGTAGGCTTTTAAATACCAAAGACTGAAAAGCTTAATTACATAATTTAATCAAATACCCTGCAAAATAATTACAATTATCCCTCCACCTCTGTGCAGAAACTGAGTCACAGAAGAATTGAATCTCAAGCGTATTAGGGTGTGCCTCATGGTGAACATGTTATGTTTTAAGTGCCTGGTTGAAACACAGCTCTGAGGCTCAGAGTGCTCCCTGTAAAGTTGCTGGAGTCACAGATGCTCTTCATCCATAAAAACTCACGCCAAGTGCCCAAGGCTGGCATCCAAAAGGAGATTCACCACCAGTGAATGTTCTTATAAAATGGAAACTGTGCTGCCTGTGCTGTTACACACCTGTAATGAGGTGGCAATAGTTTTCATAGGATATAAGAGATGTTACTTCCTTGGTCTCCTTTGATCCACATCTTCCTGTGTCCTTTAGATGTCCTCTACACTTGGCAGGCCAGCCTCGTGAGGGTGATGAAGATGTGGTTTCCTTATGCCTGGTAATAGCTCTTTTGGCAGAGCTTGTTGATACTGGCAATGGTGTTTGTAGACTTGCTGAATACATTAGTGCACAATGAAAGCATCCCAGCAGCAAGACTTTAAGATCTAATGGTGTTTTTCTCCCTTTTAGTGGTTTTACATTTGCATCAATTACAGCTACCATCCACCTTGAACCCCAGTCTGAGTGCTCAGGAAACATTTGTACATCCATAAAACCACAGAAGATAAGAGCATCTTCCCCAGAACTGATTATCTAAATTTGTCTGTAAGCAAAAACTGAACAGGCAAGTTAGGTGTCCTTTTAATCCTTCAGGATGTGGAACTCTCCACTCCCACTGAAATCAGCAGAAGTTGAGGACATTCAAAATAGCAGGGCTATTCTTCTTGCCTCACCCCATGGCGTGTCACATTAGCCAACATTTATATCTGCCTACAATGCCCAGTCTCTGCTGGACCCGTGGTTACTGCTGCTTGACTGGTAGAGCTGCAGGTCCCTGTGAAATGAAATGGAAGCCCTTGGAGGGCAGCTGCAGTCCTGGAAAAGGACCGAAGAGAGGGACTGAGTAGGGGGTCCTTTTTGATTCCAGCAAAGCTAAAATTTTTCAGTGAGAGTTAGGATTGTCTTTGAAAGAAATAAATACATTACACTGCACCACTAAACCCACTATAAATAAACTGCATTAGAGCCTAGTTATTTTGCAGGTTTCTTGATGAGTGATTCTATTCTCTTAAAGTTAGGTCTCTACCTATGTAAAAGCCATCAAGAAAGGTTGTTTTCAATGAAGAATGATAGCTAAAGAACAGTTACCTAAATTCCTCATTAATTCCTTTAATCATAAGATAATGATAACTCTTCCCCAGATATGTCAGGAGTAATAGTTTCTTCAAGTAATAGATCCCTCCCTGAGCTGTTGGATTTCTAGTCTTCTGCATTCAGCATCTTAGTTATTACTGAGTTTTATTCTTACTTTCCATCAATACAAAGGTTTTTTTGAAAATGCTGTCTGAGAGGTAAAATATGACTCTGAGAGGTCATGAGCATAGAGTTGTACTAACGCACTTTACCCCGGGTGGAAAGGAAGGACCAGTGGAGGCTGCGTGTACACCAATGCAACGCTTTGGATGGGAAAGGATCTCTGGTGCAAAAATCTCTGGTGGAGCCTTGAAAGCTCCCACCGAGAAGATGAGCTAGACTTACCAGGAAGATGCACTAGCATGTTCTCAAACACCTGTTGGAATGGCTTGGGATTTTATGCTTATTAAACGCCATCTTATCTGCTCCCTTTTGATGGACTTGAGTCCCCTCTGGACTAACTGATCACCTGCACAAATCTCTGGAAGTACAAGAAATTAACCAAATTCAGAGATCATATAGCCCACTTAAAAATACATAGCTCTGTTCAGCCTTACAGTTTTTATGCATTTAAGTGTGTCCCAATTTATGCTGGCATAAGAGAATCATCCTTTGTTTGCTGACGTACATATAGATATAACAAGAAACACAGATGTTGTAACTTGAATTTTCTGATTGGTTGTGGATGTCTGCTGGCTCTTAAATAGATAATAAATATAGCTTAAGTAATCTGTTTGATCACAATTCAGAACTGCCCTAAGAACGTAACCAAAAATACAGCTGGGGTGGATACACATGTCAAATAAGAACAGGATGCTCACAAGAGGAACTGATCTGCTGCTGATATTGATTTTCAGCAAAAGAAATGAATAATATTCCTCCTCAAAGGCTGCTGAAAACAATTCTAGTTTGCATAAAGGCATTGCCAAGAGCCTTATAGAAAGCAGACCGAGGCCCATGGGAAATACGTAGTTTCTTTTCGCCTCTGCTCCTAATTTCTTTCTAACTGCTGGCTGAGATACTGTTAAAAGAATGAAAAAGAAGAAAAAGCAACCATTAAAGCTCTTGAGCCATTTGCCATGAGATAGAGGTAATCCTGAGACTCACAGTCTTTATTGTAACAATAAAGTAATACCAGCACTGAGGATCATTTTAGAAATAAGCAATCAGACAGGAGGTTAATACAACACGAACCTCCAACACTCTCGTCTTGCCACTATGCCTCCCTGTAAATGGATCAGATGGTTCAACCAGTTGAATGATTAAAGGAGTTTTAACGGCAAGGCGGAGCGATTCCCTTTCATAAATGCGGAGGTGAGATACATACTTTTAGTCTGGAGAAATGTGATGAAAACCCACAGGTTCACTGTAAAGCTGAGATTTCTGTCTGCTTTTCTTCTGAACTGATCTTTGGTAATTGTTCTTGTTTACAGCCTCTGGCCTCTCCTCTTCTCCATCTACCCCAACACAAGTGACCAAGCAGCCCACGTTTCCTCTTGAATCCTATAAGCATGAGCCTGAAAGACTAGAAACACGGATTCACTGTTCTTCACCTCCAGACACAGGGCAGAGATTTTCTTTGCCTCCATCTCAAAGCGCAGCCAAGCCTCCTATCATGACACCAGCTCCCTGTGCTACCTCAAAACCAGTAAGTAAAGCATGTGTCCAGTTCTCCACTGGGAAATGTACAGGGTTGCGTGTTAACTGTTTCTTGTATTACAACCGATGAGCTAGAGCACGTGTGTCCATACTGTGGAACAGAATGAGCACAATTTCATGGGCCTTTTCCCTCAGACTTGTCTCAGCTTCTCTCAGTATTCAGCTGACAAGGCACTAGGGGTGGTAGCTCCCCTTCCGATTTACCCAAAAAGCAACTAATTTTTGCACTATTCTCAAGCGAGTTTTGTGGTGGCTACAGATCCCAGCATACCTTGCTGAGATGCCACTTCAGAGAAGGATAGAATTTTATTTAGGATTGTCTTTATCTCCCTTAGGAAGAGCTGATGAGAGAGCTAGCAGCCAAGGAGAGCACATCAAAAAGAAATTCACAGTATGAGCTGCAGGGAGGTTGAGTTCCTGCTGCGTCTGGAGTCTGAGATGACTGGGACGGCCGGTGACTAATGGCACTAGTTGCTGTCACGCCTCCTGCCCCGGCTCAGAGAGCAGAGGAAGAAGGGCAGCACTACCAGGGTATTTATCCAGCCCCCCACGTAGCAGAGGTGTCTTCATAAGAGTGGTTTCTTCAGCTCCCGGGAATGCATGAACTCAGCAGTTCCTGGGAATACATGAATTCCAGCCTTTGCAGTTCTCTACCGCAACATCCGCACTGCATGCTGTTGTGCCGCCTCCCCTCTCTCTTGGCCAGCCTGAGCCTCAGAGGCATCGCTGCTCTTCTCTTTTTGTGCCCTATTGCTCCTTCTTTCTTTTTCATGTTCATTCCTTTGCATTAAGTACCTTTCCGTCCACCATCCCCCTGCCTCATGGAACTAGCAAAGTGTGACCTGTCACCAGAGTTAACTACCCTCCATCTGTCTTTCCCCAGCTTTTCTTCCTCTTTTTTTTTTTTTCTTTTTCCTCAGAATATAAACTCTGTCATTTTTTTTATCTAGAAATCTAGAACTGTAAAGGACATAGAGGTTCATGAGGTCTGCTTCCCTTCTGAACGACAAGTTTTGTTTCGTTTCATCCCAGTTCTTAGTGATTTATTTAAAAGCAGGAAGTTTCTTCCCACTCGCCCATGGGAAAGCTGTTCCAGGATCTGAATACCCTAACACAGCAATCCCAACCCCTTTTTGCTTTCGTGTTAGGTACCTCCACAGTGGCAGCAGCAGTTGTTTTGCTGCAAGTGTTTAGGTACTGGATCAGCATTCACACACTACTTTCAAGTTGTTCACACACATCCAGTCAAATATTTGCCCTATTTCAGGGATGCCTTCTCTACCGGTTAGGAATTCTCTGATTTTTAACCAAATTTTTTTCATGGACAGGTTATGACCATTTGCTCTCGTAATTAATAGGCATTTTCATTCATTGCTTGTTACATCCTGTTGTATGTATTTATCAGCTGTTGTGGTTGTATACATGTAGAAGAGAGAGTCTGAATGGAAACTCAGTACGTTGGACTCACTTATCTCCTGTTCAGAAGATACAGAAATACATATATATATATATAAAAATACATGGGATGTATAGTGATTACTTTGTACCTTCTGTACTCATTTAGATCTGAGAACAGTGAGTGTGCAGGGCTGCCAGTGAATCATGTTTTTGGTTTACTTGGGAACAAATGTCAGCAGCTACAGATCTGTGAGGAACAAAGCCCCAGACATTCAATTTTCAACAGAGACCAGCGAGAGAGATTTGTCGTGCTTTTCTGGTAGGAGACACTGTTAGAGGAGACAAAGGCTAAGTGTCTGCAGAAGGGTGTGAATCTGAAGCTGATGGGTGTTCACTCAGGACTGTTGTGTCTGTCGATCTCTGTAAGTTGTTTACCTAGCATTCCTTTGCAAATATGACGGCAGAAGACCAGCATTCTTGATTTGAGTACTGTATTCCAGACATTTCATTTATTTCAAGCTGTGTGTTAATAAATGCATGTTTTCACAATGCACATGCCATAAACAAATCTGTAAAAGGCAAAGTCAATTTCTTGTTTACTTAGATCACCATTTCTTGGCATAATAATTGCAATTATCTTAAAAACACACTATAAACTATATGATAAATGGTTTCATAATGGCCATGCTGTTAGATGATCAGTTTAATGACTGGGAAGCTTCTACATTGACATCTGAAATGAGAAGTTGCCTTTTATCTACAGGGCTCTGTCAACTTAAATCTCGTTTACTTATTACATTGTTTAACTAGTGATGATAATGTGTGAGATCCCAGAATTATTATAAATGATTCACGATTTTTATATATATTGCAGTAGCAAAGAGGAACCCTTGAACCCAGACCCGCAATTATTACTGAAAAAGCCCACAGAACAGCTGATAACTACAGGAAGGTGCAGCATCAGGACATGGAACTAATCTTAGCCCATTTTTATAATTAACTGCATTTGAAGCTGATTGTGTACTTCTTTTGTATATGTCTGAGACTGTGGCACAGAATGGTTGAATCTGACCAGTAAGAGAGAAGGCATGGAGGAAAGAATAAAAATATTTATTTCCCAGAAGTTGTCATCAAAACCTTTCATGTTTTAGTAGCACTTAGAACAGTGCATATTTTGATGCAATTCTTAAGCCTTAGATTCTGGCGAGGGGAATAAAAAGTGGGAGACAATTCCTGACAGAGTGAGATCTTCCCTCAGTGAGTATCATCTCAACACAGTAGACAAACCTAAGCAATTAACCTCATGCTAAATGGATATCTGTGATAATCACTAAGGTCTGGATTTATCCTACCTAACTTTAGAAACCTATCTGAGCTGCTTAAGTTGGGACTCTAGGAGCTCTAGTGCCTCTGTATCCCACGGAGAGGCGTTTGCAGGGGATGAATCAGATCTTCAGTGGGCTGAAGCCTTTTGGGCTGATTATAAAGGGAGTGACTCCGGGTGTTGCATTTCTAACTGTAGGACTTCTGGTAGGTGCCAAGAGCTAGATGTGATGAGGCTGTGACACACCATTGCAGCAGCTCTTACGGGCTTTCCTCTGGGTGTGTAGATGTTCCTGGTGGTTGAGTTAAAAGGTTATAATGAGAAATTCAGCTGATAAGAGATCAAAGCTATACCAAAAGATTACTGTGAACTGCATTAAATGGGGAAGGAGCAATCTGATTTTTCACAGTACAGTTCATGACTCTGTACTTTGGCCTTGTGTTGTTTGGAGTGTGTAACCTTCAGGCAGTAAGTGGTAAATGATAACTCTTCTCTAATGTGACATTACTAACCATGAAAGGAATGCAGAGAGGTTGCAAATTCAATAACGAATCTGTTGGCCCTGCTTCCGCTTTGCCCGTATTTTGAAGTGGAATGTAGCATGTTGAGCTTAATGTGGTTGTATCCTTTTCATTTCATCCTTTCTTCTTCCACTGATGCACTGTGAAAATAGTAGTATTCCCTGCCTCCTGCAAACACAAACATTTTTGTGGTACATCATTTCCTGGCCTTGATGGGTTTCCCCTTTCCCGGCATGAGAAGAGCCCAGGCCAGAGAAAGAAGATGCTAGTTTGAAATGGAGGAGTTGCCTTTGAGTTCTCTTTTGGTGAAAAACAGGGTTGGGGCTTCCTCTGCTCAGAAGAAGTGGACAAAGGCAGAACATGCTGACAAATGGCCCTTTCCATATGATTGTGTTGTTAACCGCTGTTCTCCAAATAACTCCTGAGCCAAGTCATTTCCCAGCATGTTCTTAAAAAGAGGGCATCTCAGCCAGAAGGTTAGTCTGAGACTTACTCCAAGCTTGTGTGAGCAAGCCCTGTTACAGCTGCAGATAGAGCACAAAGGAGGGACTGACAGAGTCCGATCTGTATCCGTTTTGCACAGTCCTTGCTGCTCCAGCATATGGAGAGGAGAGCTGTAAAGTACAGCTGGGACTCTCTTCCAGTCCTAGATATGGAGAGGGAAACCAGATTGTTTCTGCAGCTACCTGCTCGTTAAACAGTAGCACTTCCCTGCAAGGCTATTCATGCTGTTTCTTAACCAAAATGTAGTAAACTCAAAAACAGGGCTGCTAACTTGTTCAGTGTGAAAGGCCATTACATCACACCCTGCTGCTGGCAAGGAGCCTGGGAACCAGGGTATGTGCAGCAGGTCCTTCAATTTGGCTCTCTCCAAAAAGCCATGCCCCCCTATCAGAGCTTCATAATCTAGCTGGCTGATTAAAGACATTTAAATCTGATGAAGAGAACAGAAAAGTGTTCTTTGATTCTGATGTTGTCTTAAAAAAAAAAAAAACCACCAAAAAAAAAGCAGAGGCTGGGAAAAAAGGAATCCAGTCTGCAAATGTACAAGAACTCCCTATTTCAGCATTCATGTGGTTTAAGGCAATATATTAGAGTGCCAAGACATTGCTGTGATTCAACTTTGATTTATACCACAGTAAACTGATCACAGAAATTAGAGCCAGAAAGGCTGTCATTTACCAGTGAAGAAAGCTCTTGCGGTGCTGTTGTGTCCAGGCTAGTCTTAAGGGCCATAACACCAGTGCTCCTTCTGGGAGATGATTCTGTTCTCTAATAGATCCTATGGGCTGTAAGAAGCCATCACTTCTTTAAACATTGCTGTCCACCTGAAAGTGTGTTTAATTCAAAAATGGTATATATTTGTCCAACAGTTGGCATGTAACTAATTAGTTGCAAACATAGTAAATGAATAGCTTTTAATGAGCTATGTAATAATTAGGTACCATATTAATGGCAAAAATGTTTTGAGTCCACCTGATTTGATTTCAGTCTCCTTTGACAGAGCATCATGGTGGCTCCACTGAATTGAATATAGGCCCACAGGAGAATTATTTAATATGTTTGGAAAACTCATAGTGAGATTCAGTGGGACATAAAGAATAAATGAACCAGTAACCTCACTTGGAACTGAGCATTACAAAACCAGAAAGCTTCAGCTATACCACACTACTTATTTTTAATTACAGCTCGCAGTTGATTAATATTCTGTTCTCTCACTTCACCTTCCCCCTATTAGTCTTATCTTTTATATCACATCGGGTATTTTTCTCCCCTCTTAGTATTTAAAATATGCAACAAACAACTTACTAGCCATTTGCTCTTGGTTAATTTGCCTTTTTTTTAAAGCTACTTATTTGATTTAGAAGAAAAAAGGTTCAGTCACAACCTCCTGAAACACTGAATGTATTTGTATTCTGGTTGCAGTGTTCAGATTCATGGCAATCAGTCTTAGGATGCAGAGAAATTGTATTGCATAAAGATGATTTTTTTCTGCCCTAAGGAAATGTGTGTCTGTGTCAGCTTGTGGCTTTTTCTGCAGCCACAGAGATAATTTAATCAACTATCTATGGATTCACTCAGAGGAGAATTTATTTTAACGGCATGAAGTCCTACAATTCCTGTTCCTCCTAGTCCTAGATCAAAAGGAGAGAGGCTAGCTGGAAAGGATGAATAGCCAGAATGCTGAGTCCAGTCAATTCCCAGCTGCTTTGATAGCTCTCATAAGGCTATAAGTAGCTAAGGCAATTAAAACTAGAGCATCTATGAGTCTTTTTTAAGATACACATTGGTACCAAAATCATGACCCCAGCATCCTGAAGGCAGAGTTAGTGGCTTAAAGCTAAGTTACTTTTATCACCCTAAGTCCTGCACTATGCATGGTATAAAAAGGCTAAACCTAAGGATCTGGCCTCATGTGTCCATATAAATAGATATCTTTTGAAGAAGCAACGTGATGTAAGAGGGTGCTTTAGCACTGACAGCCTGGTTTTACCCATTGAACTGGTTTCTCATGGCACAGCTTATTTCTGAATTATAGACGTGTTAATTTAACAAGCATCCTGTTATTTTGCTAGAAGATCGGAACTTCTTGTAAAAACAAGCTATATTAGCGATTAGAAGCCAGATATCTACTCTCTGATTTAATGTAAAGCTGCAGCTTAATATAGGGTCGCTGACAGTTTCTTACCCACCTATACCTGGGCAATTCTGGAACACAAAAATTATTTACCATCTAGCTGTTTATTCACAAAGCAGTAGGGATTATAGACCAAAGTCTCTCCTTGAGAATGGAGGAGAGATTCACAGTTTTGAACATGTTCTATTGCACCATGCCTGCTTATGTATTGGACTAGAGGGAAAATACAGCTAAGAATAAGCAAAAAATGCTTACGGCAGGGAGCTCTATAAATTCCTCGTCATCTTCATCCCTCTTAGCCCGGTTTGTCTATAATTGTATTTTCAGATACGCTGTCCTTAATGGCCAACAGAGGTTTAAAGAATGTAAAAAGCTGGCCGATACCAAAAGGACATGGGCTACATAAAGCTGTGATTCTGCTTTCTCAGCAACACTCCCCAGTCCCTTCCTCTGACTGGGTGAAACAAACTGTTGAAGTTGGGAGAAATAAAGGGGGACATCACAAACAACACTCATTTCTGTATGGCTTCTTCCCCCCACCTTTCATATTTTTAGTGTCACTACCTTCTTGTGCGTGAGGAGAGTGATACAGCTCTTTAAAAATACAGCTTGTGTCTTTTTTTTTTCTTTTAAGATTACAATCAAGCAAGTTTGGCCATTTGAAAGTCAGCTGCATGGGCTGCTGACTCAGAAGCGGACTAGATACCATCTTGGCAGCAGCTTGGAAAAATGTTTCCATTGTGCTGGTGAAATGAATGCAAAATATTTACTCTTTAAGCTTGTTCACAACAGCATTCTCAGCTGGAACTGAGGGTGGGGCCACATGGAAGACATTTGTAGGAAGACAATAATGATTTGTACAGTGTACTTGTATTTGGACAGTATGCATAATCTTATTTTATGATTAACAAAGGACAGGGCTCCTACCATATGGGGCTTATAAGCTGAAGTGTAAACCGGTGAAATAATCAACAGAGAATAAAAGAGAAAAGGTAACGGAGGCAGAAGGTCAGCTAAAGAGGGGTAGGGGGCAGAATTTAAGACGGCAGGTTTTAATTTAGTCTTTTTGCATATTTAGGCTTACAGTAAATTGCCAGTGTTAAGGTTAATAGCTTAGACTTTTGAAATTTTTACCTCCCGTACTTTTTCACTTACAACTGCACAAGCCAGCACATCTCTGGTATGCAAAAAGTCATCTTCCTTGTACCTCAGAACAAAAAGTTACTAATTGCTATTTTGTGGTATATGAGCACATATGATTTGAGCAGAAAAATAAGCATGATTCTTGCCCTGATGACCTTATTGTCCAAGTGCCTGATCTAGCAAAACAGGCCAGGCAAATTCTAAAACTGTAAGAAAGCATTGGTTTAAACAGGACTGTTCCTAAGCACTACTTCCAGTATATGCTTGCAGAATAGATTTTAAGTGTAGCCATAACATAGCTAGCAATGACAGAAGGCATTAAAGAAAGGTAACCTGAAGGTTACACCGTTGAGTTTGGTTGATGTTGCTATGTATTTATGTTGCTAAATCTCAGGTGCTGTTTTGGTTAATGTCAATGCGATGATGGCCCTCATCCAGGAAAGCACTTAAATGTGCCGTTAATTTTAAGTATGTTGGTAGTCCTGTTGGAGTCAACAGTGCTAAAGCACTTAAAGCTATGTGCATGCCTAGTCACTTTGCTGGATCAGGGTCTGTACCATTTTTATTGTCTGTTAAAACACTTAAAAACGACTAGCACAAGTACTGAAGATGAGGAAGGAAGCTGATGGACAGACAGAAGATGGAAAAAAGAGTTGGGGAAAACATTAAAGGTTCAGAAAAGATTAAGTGATGGAAAGAGCTTGGGCATCAGAAAAGAAGAGAGCTCCTGGCGACAATGGAAAATAGCTGATGACTGAGTGGCAGGAAGAGCAGCAGCTGCAAGATTGCTATCTTCTTAATGTTGTGTGTTTGGCCTTTCAAGCTTTGGGCGTTGGGATTGTATTTACTTGGAAACACTTGTGGTGTGGACTGCCTCAGAATCTAGCTCCTTACGTAAATGGAAACAGCTACTGATGAAGAAATGGCTTATGAAAGAAGACGAGACATTCCTCTCCAGCCCCTCTCCCTTAAGTGTGCTGATAATAACTGCACAAGAGTATATCCCAACAGACCTGGTGCACAAAGGGGCAGGATGCTCCCAAAGCTGACTTCTTGGGGACTGCTGAGAGGAATAGTTTCCACAGAGAGCGCACAACTTACTTTCCTGGAATACGTCTTCAGAAAAAGGCACTAAGATGCCACTGAGCGTGGTGATGGTACAAAAGGACATAATACAAACCAGTCCCCAAGTAGTTTCTTCCATTGTCCAAGATTTTACAGGTACAGAGGTTACATTTTGAAGACAAGGATGCCTTCCTCAAACTTCTGTTTTTTCCTCATGGCCTCAAGCATTTGGCTATTGCTGTTTTAGAGAAGAAATCTTAGAATTCAAAGAGCATTTCAGTTGCAGAGTTTTTAGGGAAAACAAGAGTTTAGAAAGGAGAAAAATATAGTGCCAGTAGCTAGGACATGCTGTAGAGATCAGAGGGAGCTAGCTGCAACTATCTGCCCTGTCAAAGATCACTTGTGTGACTCTAAGTCACTTGGTCTCCCGGTGCTTCAGTTTCCCATTTTTTAAAAAAAATGGGGTAATGCTTCTCTAAGTCAAAGAGATGTTATGATGATAAATACACAAAAAAGTTCTACAGAACTCAGATATTTCTAGAACAGGAGCTGCAAGTGGCTTAAGATAAGTTAACCGTAGATATAGCATGTGTTGTATTTAAAGTTTGTAGCAACAGGCTTTTACACTGCAGACTGTAATTGTTTACAGGTAGCTATCACGTTTCCAGAGCACATTAAGATTTACACAAAAGATCACTGTAAAGTAGGCTGCTCTTCTGAGTTCTGTGTTTATTTTAGAGCTTCCTTTAAAACAGTTCAGGCATTCACAAGAACTGATAATTTTCAAAGAATTATCAATTATTGATTTCCAAAGAAGATAGGACATTCTGCCTGTACATTATATAAGGATTAGTATACATACACACATGCCCAAAACTTGATGTTGTGCACTGTAATGTAGACTTGCTCATTTTTACTTGTTTTTACCACAACTAGCCATGAAATTACTTGAAAACCATGAATCGATGTAATGTCTACCCAAGCCTATTAATGACCTTAAATAAATACTTACTGTTTTTTCTAGAGATCCATAGCCAGGGATCTATTCTGAACTCAGCATGCCTTTCCTAAGAGCTTAAAATATCATCAGAACAAACTAAAAATGAATATAACAACTCCTGAAATGTCAAAGCCAAGTCAGCTCCCCTTCTTGCAGGAATGTGCCATACCGTCCCTCACAAGGCATTACTTGGGCACCTCCTGAGAACAACCCAGCTGGAGCTCCAGCGCTTAACCCAGATGGCCAAGGTTAGAGAGGGCTCTTGGGATTGCCCAGCCAGTGGCAGTTTCCCCCCTGCCCTACCGTCACTCCCCTGTGAGCATTTTCACTGGCTCCTCTCTGGCAGACAGCACAGGACACGGGTAGTCTCCCCAGTCACAAGGCATTACTTGGGCACCTCCTGAGAACAACCCAGCTGGAGCTCCAGCGCTTAACCCAGATGGCCAAGGTTAGAGAGGGCTCTTGGGATTGCCCAGCCAGTGGCAGTTTCCCCCCTGCCCTACCGTCACTCCCCTGTGAGCATTTTCACTGGCTCCTCTCTGGCAGACAGCACAGGACACGGATAGTCTCCCCAATACAAAGGTCCAAAGCTCTAAGAACTCTTCATCTCAAAAGATAATGGTCTTTGTCTCAAAAGACGATTAACTTTGATATATTACCATTTTGGCAGAAACAACCATTTTCATCTCAAACTACTGACTGCATTATTTAATTTAATATTCAACTGCTTTTTTATTTTTTCATTTTAGTTAAACTGACACTGAATTTCCAGTCTGCTACTTAAGTGTGCTTCAGAAGCGAAGAGGCATCTCTGTAGGGCTTATACACAATTTAATGTACAGTAAATAGAATTTAATCCAACTCTACTGAAATCAGTGCCAATTTTTCTATTTTCTTTCAGAAAGGCTAGATTCTCTTATGACCCAACTATTACCTTACCTTGTAATGACCACTTAAACAGCCCATTTTCATACCACTGCTAACTGGGAGGCACCACTCTATGTTAACACCTCAAACAGGTGTTGAATATTGAAGGCAATGCTTTATTTCCATATTTTGAGAGCCTGTGATAAGCTACAACAAAAAGCCCCAGGGAAGCATGTCAAGAAATAATTTCAGCTCTTTGCGGACATTTAACTACAGACTGAAACTGCATCTAAACTTACATGCTTGGGAACCCAGTGTTTGCTGCATCCACACTATAAGCATCTGCTGCCCACGAATACACTTTTGTATCTGCATCTCCACAAGCTCTGCAGTAACTGAGCACGGGGGCAGGCTTGCTGGAGGTGTATCCCTGCTCCTTAGCATGGAAATAATTCAAATTTTTTTCCAATTCTGGTTCCTGAAATACAGGGAAAAGCCTTACCAATATTTCCATGTCTCTTTATGATATTGTTTGTAGTCATAAAACATTTAGCTCAGACACTTGATACGCTTCGTGCTTGCACAGTCCTTGCTTCAGTCCTTCCAAACATGTCAAACCACAGAACCAGTACGGAGGATGATCTGGTTTCACCTGTAGTGTACCTGAAATGATGGAAGGATATAGTTAAGAGGCTGTCAAAAGGGAAAGCATGCATGACAGAAGGAAGGTATCTATCGCATGCTGCTGTCATTGCCGATTTCTTTTGTGCATAACAATAAAAAATCAGCAGCACACAAAAATTAGCCCTGGAGTGATCAGCAGTAGACCTAGAAGTAATTTAGGAAGATGGTTAGGTTCCTCAAGCCACACAGGTTCTGTGTCATCTGAAAACCAGCTTTTTGTCAAAAATTAATTTATTTGGAGATTACAAGTGAAACATAGGTTCTGTGTTGAAGGAAGTTTATTAATATATTGGTTTGCCTATGCGTAATAGTAGCTACTCTCGGCTACTTCACAAGCTTCAGTAGGGCCACTGATGGTACTCCTGCCTAGAGTTTGTCAGCTGCAGGGTGGGCTTGAAATCTGATGCAAACGCACAGCCCGCAAGTGCTAGAGGTAGTCCTGCTTAGGCGTTTAACATCCTCTTAGAACTGCGCTGAAAAATTCTTCATTATCGTTGCCTGCCTCTTTGAGATAGCTTTCAAATGCTCCTGCTGGAGTCCTATTGAATATTGAGATCCTCGATACATAATAAGCTCCTCGATACAGCTAAGCTCTGCAGAAAGTGGGCACCTCTAGCACAGCTCAGTTGCTCCACGTTTACCTGCTTCTTAGTGCAGCTCTGCCACCGGGTGAATTATTTGTTCAGTCCAGGTCTATGGAAATTTCTTAAAGAAGTTTTGTTGATATTGTGGGTGATTCAGCTCCGAGCGGAAGATTGTCTCTATTTTTCAGTAAACCACCCCTGTAACTCTGACCTGCATCATCCTACTAACAGCTAGGCTCAACAGATCTGCTTCCAGCCTTTCAAAACCACTGATGATCATGAAAATTACATTTTAACAGTAGGCTACTAATAGATTACTAGAATTTTGCAGAGGGTACTGAAGCCTGAAGTGTGGCATCAGTTAACTTCAGGCTTTGTTAGGGAAAAGGTGTTTCATTTTAAGTTTTAAAAATATCATCAGTGAAAGCTGGTGTAGTGTTCGCACAGTGAAGTCGCTATCCATGACCAAGGATTTGAAATATAGCACTAAAATGAAGAGAAATGGTGTATAATAAATGTGTTTGTTTAAATCAGATTTGGTTCTGGGGTTTGTTTTTTTTTTTTCAAATTTGTTATTCTCAGTGGCCTCTGTTCTGCAGATTACTCATCAGAACCCTGGCCTCAATCCAGCTAACGTACTTAAGTAAATGCTTAACTTTAACTAACACAAATAATCCCGTGTTCAATGCCAGTGAATGAAGATCCACGTAAATGTGGGCTCACGCTTACTCTTCTTTTCCATTCACCTTAAATTAGTGGATGCTTACCTATTTTTTACTATTAGTATTATCTTAATCTGTTCTTTGGGTTTTTTTTTAAATGTATGTTTGTCACTACAAAATATCTACTGCGGTCATGCTTATTACCTGATTACCACAGCTCTCTCCAGGAGTAATTTCCCCTTGCCCTCAACCATGCCCCACAGTGTGATAAGAGGTAGGTCCTGTTTCAAAGAGACTAAGGAGCAATCAAGCATACGTGTGAAAACAGTTAAAGTATATCTTTTCGAGCATACACGATAACAAGCATTTAAGACAAGAACACTTAAAAACTCTGAAATAAATTAGAATGGTAAGCGGCATCCCTGCATTTGCAGAATCAGGTAGCAGGCATCAGTAGTCTTAGCAAAGTCAGGTTAGTTCCTCACAAGTGCTTAACTTTTTTAAACTTTATGTTCAAAAGGATAGAATTTAAATTGTTATGTGGTTTGATTAATAACGCGTCATGCTGATAATACTGATTCAGAGTCCACCCATATTCTACATGAGTAATCTGAGGAATGAGTATCAGCCACAAGGGCTTATGTAGAGAATGCTTCTGATATTCTTGTCTCAAAACTCTGCCCTATC